AATAAAAGAAAAAAACCCCTTCCTGTTATTATGTAGTGTGTCAAAAGAAGAGAACTAGAAATGAGCAGAAGTCACATGTCAAAGCAAGCCCTGACTGATGGACAGGCTTGAGATGCATGAGGTTTCCTGCCCATCCTAACTTTCAAAACATTCTTCTTCAAAACCAAACAGAACAAAGAGAACTCTTTGGGGTAAGAAGCAGGGTGCTGAGAGAAGGACTGAGCTGAAAGAAACACTGTAATACCTTTTGTCCCAATTCAGTCAAGGTTCCTTCTTGAGATCAAATGAAAGACTGAATTACACCATCCTTTCTAGGAATTTCAACAAAACCTCACAAATTTGAGGTCATAAAGTGAAATCTGAGCTGCTCTCTTCGGGCTGCTTTTTCATTCTCTGCTTTATTTTTGCTTTTGCCCAGGCCATGTTTTTATCTCTCTGTAGCAACAATTCGCCTTGGCTGGGCAAGGCTGGCGCCCTAGCAGCATGGCTGAGAGCCATGACCAAAAGACTTCTAAAACGGGTCAAGAAAACTGCTGCTGGAACAAGCTTTCCAGGTCAGGGACTTCAAAAAACAAGAAGAGCAATGAACTATGTAGGTGTTTCTCCTACTACAGAAGGAACTGTCTTCAGCAAGAGAGTCAATACAGTAAACGAAAGCTGTATCTTGCCTATCCTGTTCTTTTGTCACCCATCTTCTCTGCAAACTGTCTTGCACTCATTAATCTTATTTTGTCCATGGACAAGCAGGCTCTGATTTTCAAAGCCACCACAAAATGGTTCCAGCATCTCTCATCTGTGCTCTCTTGGAGTTTTGATTATTCAGTGCTAATTTACTTGCTCTTGAAGGGATTTGACGATACCAGTGTTTGTAAAAAGAGTTTTAGTACAGCTGAATTTAATTTGCCATAGGTAAACCTCGGGTAATATGCAGATTTTTAACCTCTGAGAGGAGCATTTACAAGCATGGGACTCATTTTTTTTGCTTTTATTTTTGCATGCTGGATTTTTAGAAAGTAAAAGAAAGCTATTGCTTCCCTCAGTCTTAGCAGTTCAGTAACCTGCCTTTGGTAGATTACTGCCCCCAGCACGGCTCCTGCTAACGTCTGCACATGAATGAATCAGGTTTGACATGTCTGGCTCTTTCTACATTTAGGCCACTGAATAAAAATTGTCACACTGCATTTGCCCGTATGCAGGTGCCATGATCTCCCTGGGTTACATCTCCATCAAGTGGTCTGTCAGCCTGCCACCCATTTCCCCAGGTTCGTTTCAGCAACCTCAGATGCCTTTCTGCCAGGGAACGTTGGCCATTTCTTGTGCACTGCTAATCAAACCAATTGCCCCGCACCCATTTTGAACTTCCTTAATAACCATGCCAGGGTCTGGCACCTGTCCCACGTCAGCACATTCCACAGGTTAATCACCCCTCGCTGCAGCAGCCTCATATTCTGGACCCGCAGTGGTAAAATATGCCCATCTCCGAGGCACAAGAACCACAGTTTGTGAAGTCTTTTGGGCACTGCAGCCTGTCAAGCAGCAGGCAACTACCACGTAAGTCATGGGTCAGGTTGGAAAATGATCCTTCCTCGGGTGGATTTCAAGGACAGTCGTTATGCAGCTACGCTCAGGTAGCTGTACCTAGAGTCACACGATCAGTGCAGAAACAGCAGAGTTCTTCAGTGCCGGGGTGACGCTGGAATTGCCTTCTGTGCTTCAAACTGCTTCCCACAGCTCTTGCCAAGCTAGGGGTTCAGGCTGGCATCCATTTTGTGAAAGTTTCCTGAAGAATGGCATGGAAGCCTAAGAACTTAGAAGCATTTTTTTTAGCGAGTTTGAGCTCGCTGGGACCCTGAAAACACTCACACACCAGAGCTCATGCAAGCCGACCCAGATGCTCTGCGGTAGTTAGTTAATGAAAGGGTCGTAACTGCCGTAAGATGCAGCCTAAGAACAGATGCGTGCCACAACTACACCTGACACAACAGGGAGAACACAGACACACTGCGCGGCTGACGCCCAGATAACAGCCTTAATTACCTACAGCTTGATTATCCTGTGTTGACACAGTTTTTATGACTAAGTCACCCTTGAGACACTGAGAATCTGGAAATCCTAACCACAGATAAAAACTTCCTTGCAGCTACAGAAAGTCACAGTATTTTTTTCTGACAAACTTTGGCTGAGAGTTTTGAGCACTTTTAACTTATCAGCCTCGCAGTGCATTTTACAAGGAGAGTGAAGTCTTCTGGCATAAATCACTGACTTAAAGGAAAACAACTGTGTAACAATATTACGAGATATACAGAACAGGATGCACTTGGATTCTAGTTTCTGTCCATTGGCTCACCAGAGAGAAGGATCATAAATCAGAGAGAGAGAATGGAAATCAAAGAAAAGTAACAGGAAGTGTCAAAATGAAAACCTGGCAGAAATTACGAAAAGGAGGAAAAGAAAAAAAGACTCCAGATGTTTTAAAAAAATCCCCAAACCTGGGAAAGATTCAGTGAACAAAAGATGTACAAGCAGAAAAGAAACAAGAAGTGATAGCTTGGGTGGGGGTCTCCTCAACTTTCTTTATCACACGCACAGGTCTAGAGAAGCAAGAAAATCAGTATCTAAGAAGATGGGGGAGGTGAATGGGGAAAGAGCCACATAAAATCACCTCCTCTCCTTTCTTCCCATGAAGCAAAGCCCTGGAAACTCTGATCCTAGAAATATTTCGATTGAGCTCACAATTCAAAAGGTTCATTAAATCCAGGATTATTACCATGAGAGAACTTGATCACAGCAGCCAGATTGTAATGTTTAAGGGGTTCTTTATTTCCACATACCTACATGATGTAGTGTTCAAAGTCACATGGCGAGCATGTGAACGCGGGGCCTGCTCCGCTCCAAAGCTCTTTCCTGTGGGGCCATCTACCGGCCCCGCTTTCGCATGGCAAACGCTCCGCACAACCTGCTGCGTGAACCGGGGCAGAGCCAGGCCCCGGTTATTCCGCTAACGGCGGCTGCTCTACCAGCCGCGCCGAACGCCACGGATCCAGCAGCAGGTACGAACAGCTCCTCACAGGGCCGCGTTGAAGAGGGAGGTTTCTCTGTAACCCCTCACGCGCCACACGATGCCGTAACGGTGACTGGCGCGCAGGGCCCCAGACTGCTCAGGACTTCTGTGCGTGGCGTATGAAATACAAGAGCACACAAAATCCATCCAGCTGCACTCCCAAGCTCAAGAGGGAATTTATGGTTCTCTTTCAGGAAGAATTAAGAGGAAAATCCTAAAGGGTTCATATGTAAATGAATCACAGAACCACAGACTGGTTGAGGTTGGAAGAGACCTTTAGAGATCATCTAGTCCAACCCCTGCTCCAGCAGGGACACCCAGAGCACGTGGCACAGGGTGGCATCCAGGTGGGATTTGAAGATCTCCAGAGAAGGAGACTCCACAACCTCTCTGGGCAGCCTGTGCCAGGGCTCTGTCATCCTCACAGGAAAGAAGTTCTTCCTCACATGGAGATGGAACTGCCTGTGTTTCAACTTGTACCCATTACCCCTTGTCCTGTCATGGGTCACCATTGAGAAGAATGGGATTGATTTTTATATTTAAAAAAAAAAAAAAAACAGCTCCATTCCCCACTTAGGCATCCCTTCCAATTAGAGATGTTCTCCCTCCATTCCCTTATGTGTCATATTTAATCCAATGATGGTCTCAAATTCCAATAATTATAACATGAAGGTACTTAAAATCTTTCCTCCAGCAAAATAAATCAAGCAAAGAAATTCATGTTGTTGGCTGAAGTATTTTTTTCAAAAAAAAAATCAAATGCAGGAATAACTTTGCAAACCAATACTTTTGGAGACAGAGTCATTAAGTGATCCATATTTAATTTTTTAAAGAATTAAGCTCAATCAATAGGCTCCTGAATCAAGGATAGATAGATTACATGTTTATTTATACATGATCTGATACCACTGGTAACTTTACCAACTGGCATATATTTGCATCATACAGCTATTAAACTACAGCGTATTCTTGTACATCTCATTTTCAAGCTGCTTAAACTTTTAGCCATGCTTGAGTTAAGGCTTGCTCTTTTGTTAAAACAAAAACCCCAAACACCTTTTCACCTTCCACCCCAGAAATGATTTAAATGTTTTATGACCGTTTATGACAACATTCATAACCCAATACTACACAGTGAAAGAAAATCCTTCAGTCCTAGCACATGCCATAAAAAAATAAAGTCATGTTTTAAGTAAACAAAATACCCCCATTATTAACAGAAAATGTAAACAGACCTGCTGACTGCAATTTAAATGTGAAAGACTTACTGCCCTTGAAAAAACAGAATTTTCTCTCTTAGAGAGGGAAACTGATACACCTTCCAACTTAGAGCTTGAGTTGCTCCACTCCAGTATTTTGCAGCCAGACTACCTTTTATTGGCATTTCCTTTAAGCACAGATCTTTTCCACCAAACTAAGTCCCTTCTGCTTTCTACACTAGATTTGTCTACTTATCTCTATTCCAAATTAGCCACATATATTCAGATACAAGGAGCAGGCAAAAGATGTTTGCTGAATATACAGGCCCGAGTCACATGCACTTACAAGTAAACAATGACCTGCTAGGGTACAATCCACCTGCCACCTGACCATAGGATTCCTAAAGGGAAAAGCACGATTTTTCTGCTTAAGTACTGTTAGAGCACGCAAGGCTCTGAGATAAAAAAGAACAATATATCTCTTAGACAAAAACAAAGATCATAATGGACCTGTTGCTGTTAGAAATCCTTAGCACTGAAGACATCAAAAGTAATACTATGCCTGTCTATTCTTTAGTTATTTTCATGAGTAAAGTTTTCCAATTATTTAATATGCCTCAAGACTTCGTTGGAGGACAGAATCACCTCCTCAACTTTGGGACACATCAGGAGGGCTGCTGAGGACAGGAAACAGAGACTTTCTTTGGTATTTTTTGGCATTCTACTGCATTGCAATGATACTTACACCTCAATAGTAAGTCTCGCAAACCTGTACTGTAGGGATGCAGGAGTTCTCAACAAAACAAGCCCCTTCTTATCTGTGGGCTGGCTGTGTAACATATGAAGTAATCCTGTCACGCTAACAAAACCTAGTGCTTCTCCACAGCCCACAGCCAGGGAAAAATCCCCTCGAGTGACATATCCAAGGAGAGTCCTGGAGCAGTGGGAAGTAACATCTGGGAGAGGGTCTGCCCATAAACCAAGAATTAGATCTTTACGTTCCTCAGTTATTTCTTCATCTGAAACACCAGGAGGGTCACTTTTTAGATCCTTCACATTAGCCTTCTTCTTCTGCTGCTTTTTTAGTCTCTGTATCTTGTTCTTAAATATGTCACAATGTTTGGGTTCTTGAGGACCACAGAAGAGCTGGTCTTTGCTTAGATGCATCAAATCTTCCTCTGTTGGGATGCAAATCATAGCATGTAATTCAGGGTTCCCCTTTCTCAAGAGAGACAAGCTGACCCACACCAGAGCCCTCGGATAGCTCAGCAAGATTGGCAGAATGGCACGTTCAGTCATTTCCTCCTGCCCCAGCCTGGAAACGAGGCGGACTCGACGATCCTTTCCAGAAGTGGGATAGCACCAGGCTGATAACTGCATTAGTAATTTCTCATTTCTATTATATATGCATGTATATGAAAAAAAAAAAAAAAGAGAGAAGTTAGGAATATTTACTAATAGTACTAGAGAAATCCAGACCCCTGCATATTTACCAGGTCATGATTAAAAAGGCCCGGGACTTTCTGCATCCTTCCCAGCTAATGTTTTTATCACTCTTAGCATAAAAAAAAAAGATAAGAATTCATATGCAGAGCTATTTTTTAGAAAAACAGATTACTTTTTTAAAGTACTTTTTTAAAGTTTTACTCACAAATGCACTAGAACCTTTAATGACCTCCATTCAGTCCAGAACTGCCTTTATTCTCTTTCCATGCTAACTACACAAAAATGGAAGTCCTGCATTCAGGCACTTCTCTTCAAGTGTTATTGCCCTCATGCATTGCACTGGAATGCAGAAGATTATCCATTTGCTCTATAGATGTTGTAAGCAGTGCAAGAACCATCTCTGATAATGTATTAGAAAAAAAAAAGAATGACAAAATATATGGAGAGTAACAGTTTTAAAATTACAGATATGAGTCTCTAGAGAACAGTCTAACTTGCAAGCAGGCAGAATATGCCAACTGCCAGGAAATCCTAAACTCAGGAGTGTTATTTAAGAGTTACTAATTTCATCTAGCCACCAACCTCACTGTGGGAAGAAGAATGAAGGATTTCCACTCAAAAAGGAAGACTGATCCACAGCAAAACTTTCTAAATTTCACTTCACTACAGTTCAATTCAATCATTCTCTCATCTTAATACTTAAGGCCGAGTTCTTTCTTTCCCCAGCTCACAGAATAGTCAAGGTCAGAAGGAGCCTCTGGAGATCATCTAGTCCAACCCCCTGTTTGAGCAGCATCACTTGGAGCAGGTTGCCCAGGATTGTATCTGGTCAGTCTCCAAGGATGGAGACTCCACAACCACTCTGGGAAGCCTGTTCCAGTCTTCACAGTGAATAAGAGTTTTCTTGTGCTCAGAAAGGATTTCCTGCCTTTTAGTTTGTGCCCATTGCCTTTTGTCCTGTCACTGGGCACTACTGGGAAGAGTTTGGCCCCATCCTCTTGACACCCTCCTATCACATATTCATACACATTGGTAAGATCCCCCAAGCCTTCTCTTCTCCAGGCTAAATGCGTTTATTTCTGATAAAGAAATATCACCCCACATGCCCGTGTCATTTTGACATACCTGAGAACAATAAAGATACTCTTTTTCGTAGTTTCATCTCTCTCACCAAAGTCTTGGGTGTCTGCAACACCCTCTGTCATTATGGCACCTTCAGAGCTTATTTCCATGGCCTCTTCCACCTTGTCAGTCTCAGGTGAAGCTTCTTCGACCACTTCTGGTTTGGGGTCACAAAGGCCTTGCCCTTCAGTTGAAGGGCTCTCAGTGTGTGGAAAGGAAGGACATACGAATTCCCCTGAAGCTTTCATTCTTTCTTCCCAGTTCTTTGTCAGCTGCCCCCAAGGACAGAGGAAAGGGGACAGCGTGCCCAGCTTGACATAATTTGACCTTTTGGCAGGTGGACGTCTAAAAGACAAATGAAATAAGTAAGATTCAGCCCTTGGCTAACACTTTGGAAGGCATTTTGCCACTTTGAAAGGCTTTGCCACTTTGCCATGCCATGAACATTTTCTTTTTTCAAAAATAAGTATGCAGAGAGGAATTTAACTGGGCATTCACTTTGCAATCTCATCGAGAAAGAATTTTTACTATTTAGAACTTTTACTCTGGCACAATGCTGCTATATTTCTGGCCTCCATATCCTTTCAGCCATGCTGGATATTTCTATCTACTGTGATTTACACCACTGTCTTTTCCTCTAAACTTCTCCTACTTCTCCCTCCTCGCTGAAGGGAGCCTGACACCTGCTCATCCAAAGGATGCTTCCAGTTGTCAAGAGCTCCATGTTTATTAAACTGAAATACCTCTTTGCTCATTTTATTCTTTACTACTTCACATACACTTTAATATTCTGCCTTTGCCTGCTCTTACCTCCTCATTTGCTGCTAAGGGAGCTTGAAATAGTTTTATTTTATTGTGTTATGCAGCCTTTTTACAGCCTTATAATTGAGTATATCTCTGGGAATAGAAGGCTTAAGTTAATTTACACGCCTCGTTTAGCAGAACTCTTCTGTTATATACATATTGGTTTATTTTATTATACTAGGATTTAAAAAGACTAGTGAAAGATCTTCATAAAATAGAATTCTAAATGAGCACAACAGATAATCGAGAAAATATTTTAAGCAGTATCTATTATTGGTTTTCTAATCATCTATCCTGAATTTAATATTACCGTTTGAATTTTTCAAGAAGACTGTTTTCCAGTTCTTTGGCAAACTGGATTCCTGCAGGACAGTCCGGATAGTCATTTGGAGTATGAGGTGTCCTTTTATATTCAGAGTGTTTCAATCCCTCCTGCAAGCCACCGACCCGTACACCTCGATATATCTGTTATAAAAACAAAACCCAAAGACTGTGTTTATAATGATTTCAGGTTCTTAACTGAAACAAAGTATGAACACCCCTGAAGCTACTATCTTGCAAAATGGAGAGTCTATCCCTTTAACTTTCAAAAATCAACTTCACGTATGGCTTGCACAGTTCTGAACTTCATTTCCACAATAAAGAAATAAGTTTGTTATGCTATTTAATTCTGGAAAAAACTATAACAAAACTGAAGAGAATATCATAAATTGTGATTGTAAGTGTTGCCAGGAGTATCATATTAATCTTACAAAGTCACTGTCCATTTATTTTTACTGTACGACAGAGATCATTGCAATTGTTCCTCACACACATTCAAAAGTTTAAGTTAGTTGCAGAAAGGCATTAAAAACAGCCATCTGAATATTCAAAGCAGAAGAGTTCAAAGAGTACCAGAGGAGTACTCAGCTTAACTTGAAGATTGTATTTCAAACTCCCCCCAAAATCAAGCGCAACGAATCTGCAGACAGTGTAGAAGAGAGAGCCAAGCCGGAGGTGCACTAGCTATAGGTACCAAAAGGTTTATCTTTAGTTTTAGAGACACCAAGAAGCACAAAAGCAAAGAGCCGTATCATCAGCTTTCTCTCCTTACTCCCCCTCAACTGTTATTTCCACTTCAAACTTCCATGTCAGCAGAATTATATCCTACAGAAGATATTGAAAGCTACTGCTTATTTATTTTTAAGCTTTTAAGAAGCTCCTATTAGGCCCCGGTTCATTCATCCTCTTTAAAGGGGGATTTTGATCCTGTGATTGTGAATCAATTGAACAATGTTACGTACTCTCTCAAGTCCACGCTTCAAACCATGATACTACTTGTGGTTGCTTCCAGTGTGCTCTGAAAGTCACTTACCAAAGGAATCCAGAAAGCCATGCCCCAGCCCTTTGGGATATAGATGTCCCAGCCACTCCCCCATCCTGGTCGATCTTCTCCAGCCATTTTCCCTGGGTGCTGCACCAACAGGACAGGAATCTTAGATTCAGAAGGACCCAAATCAAGCTGTGATCCAGGCACCAGTAATTGACTTCTCATTCGGTTTAAATCCTGAAAAAGAGAAGACATTTTCTGAAGTTAGTAACCATTTTTTCATCTTCTAGATATCTTCCTGAGATACAGACATGAGGTGATCTTGTAACTGAAAAGGATGAATTAGCTAGTATAAATTAGTATGCTACACGTTTGAATTGACTTTGAGAATGAAAAATGCCTTTAAAAAAGGATTAAGCACCTTTCTTTTCTTTCTGTCTTATCACAGACCTTCAGGGAAGGCAAGTCCTGAAACACAGGCAAAAATATAGAGCACATACAAAGGAGGAAAAAAAAGTATTGCAACTTGATAAATATCAAGCAGTTTGGCCCAAGATCAGACAGAGTAGGTGCTTTCAAACAGTCTGTCCAAACACAGAGCAAATCGGATCTACAGCCAGGAACAGGGGAAGAACATTTTGTCATGACTCTATTTCATGTAAAGCACACTGTCCCAGATGCTTTAGTAATCACTATGGTAACAAATTAATAAAAATATCTTTGTGAAAAACAAAACAAAAACAGATCAACAGAATGCAATTTTACACGTCCCTTTTGTGTCAGCCATTCTAAGGTAAGCATTGCAGTTCATGACAGGATACAAAAGACCATCATGTGCATATAAACTCTGCCAACGAGTGCTTGCCCCAAGTGTAGTATTTTGGAAGTATCTGCTTTTTTTACCCTAAGGCAGACAGTTTGAAGGACCACACGTCTCATGTGCATCATGAGAATATTTAGAGATGTTTCTTTCTCTTTTTGATTACAGCACTGCTGAGAGCACTCATGGCTATATCACATTTTTGCCTATGCATTTGTGGGTTGCTTCTTTATTACCAGTTTGTTATGAAAAACATCAAGCTAAAGGGTTTCAAAACTGTAACAGCACATTTAGAGCTGTCAACAAATCACAGATATCAGCCAGAATGCCCACAGCACAGTTTGTTACAGTTGAGAGCCAGTTTCCTCTGCTAGGAATTTAGTTTTATCTCCATCAAATCTTTCATCAAGAGAATCCTCCTAACTAGGCCTGAGAACAGAGCTTCTCTTGATCACTTCATTCCCATCTGCTTCAAATGCGTCAAGGTAAGTCAGGAAAATCCAGTTACAAACCTTTTAGATATAAAAATCTAGTTATTTAGTCCTGCAAACAATCCAATAAAGCTTTATTTTTTTTAATGTGATTGAATCATGAACAATAGATATGCAAGAATACCACTACATTAGGAAATTACATGTCTCTGATTTACACAAGTGTTATGTTCTCACTAACCATTTTCCATGGCGATCAGCATTGTTATTTACCTGCTCTGAGATTTTATTTTCAGTGACGTTCTTACGGATGTCCTGGTCCCAAATAAAGCTGTGAGCACATTCTAAAGGTATACCTTCAAAGGTCAGTGTTCTAACTTTATCATAATCTACAAAAGAAAACAGCCTTTAAACACAGTTCACATTTTAATTTCTTAAGTATCAAATTACAGAAAAAAAAAAAAACCACCCAAATATCACAAGTCAAATAAAAAAAAAAAAAATCACCCAAATATCACAAGTCAAATATGCAGAGAACTAGGGAAAAACTATTTAAAAACTTAACAAGCATCACACCTTCTGGAATACCTTACTGTCTTAAAACATAAGATTTTTTTCAAATACAAAATACAAAATACAGTACCTGTTACTTTATTTCATAGAACTAACCTGCTGTTCTCTTATGAATAGACATTTCGTAGTACAAATTACAAGACCTTTGGGCAAAATAATTTACATCTTGAATATTTACACTTTTACTCTTCTGGTATTTGACCTTTCAAGGAAGTGAATGAAGCTCACTGCATTTTGTAAGAGTCAGAGCAACGTTACAAACCCTGAAACAAGTTTCCCTAGCAAACTTGTAAGAGAAGCAAACATAACTTTTAGAGAGCGTACACACAGGAAATGGTTCTAAATAAATCTGACCAGCATGCAACTACCTACTCAGCAATAGCTTCCCACTCCCTGCTCTTTTCAGGCTCTACACCCTGAGGAAGGCATTTTACTTTGGTTATATTTGCACAGTCTAACGGTTGTGTGATTAGAAAATTGAAGAAGTGGGAAGTAGCTTATTTTAATACTCCAACATGGATTACTCTCCTAGAAATATCTCAGAAGTCAAACTTCTCTGGTCTTAACTACTCGAATAAGGAGACCCACAAAAGCAGAGGTAGCACCGGGAGTAGCTGTTGCAGAACTAGCTGCACAATTAGGTTAGGAACAGCAATCTCTGGAGGGTAACAGTAACTTTCTAACTGACACCTAACAACACCCCCTGAGGCAGAGTAGAGACTGTTAGTTAGACCAGAGTCCTCAGTTTCCTAGGTAGGGAAGTAACTACCCTCCCACAGGATGCCCCCATTGCACGTTTAATAGGTAGGCAGGAAATCATGAGCAATCCTGTAACTATTCCTATGCAGCATCAGAAAGAGATTCTGGTGGGAACATGGAAAACAGTAGCCTTTTTCCTTGCGAAACCATTATACTATCCTATTCACTCCTTACCCTCTTGTAAGGCTGTCCATCCCTTTCCTGCTCCCTTACCACGATGTCCCTTTGATATTCTGCCACATGACAGCAATCCTCCTTCATCCTTCTACCTACTCTTATGTAGTAGTGCCCTGTTTGTGTAACAGCAACTCCTGCAGCAGGGCCTGAGTAGAAGGTGCCATTTGCAGCTTACCTCTTCCCGTTAGCTGACCAAGGACCTTCTCCCTACTCTGAACAACAGTCAGAGAGGGCAGATGCAGTTTTAAGTTCATGAGGAGATCAAAACAAAAACAAACAAACAAACAAAAAGAACCAGAAAGTAATGCTACCTTTTCTGAATGTGGTTTAGAAGGCTTTTTTTCTTTTGTGCACATGCCAGTGAAGGGAATCACCAAAGCATAAAGACCTCAAAGATGGTCGTTTCTGGCCATCCACAGGAAAAAAGGGCATAGGTACCTTCTTCTTGACTTGCTATCTTACATCATCACCTCTTTACCATGGCCCTCCTTCCTGCGGGACAATCGGCTCTTGCAGTGGAAGGGAAGTTACTGCAGGAGGAGCAATCTGCAGTAAACTGCCCGGAAACCTTCTGCTGATCTTGCCATCTTGAGCACATCTTCCCAGACATGAGAAGCAGAGTGAAGGAGGGGAATTACTTCTTGTGGTTGCTAACTCAATACCAGCTCAAATCGGTATCTGTAAACAAGTACTTATCTTACTTAGCAGGAGGGAACCAAAGCAGGAGTCACATGTGCAGCAACATTTTATATTGGAACATTTATCATTAAGCAGAACTAATTCAGCAGG